TAGAATTCCTCGATGTCGAAGCAAATAAAACTTAGGTGTTGTTTGTTTTTTATGCATTTGAACCACCCGATTGCGGAGGCAGTTTTTTAACCACTGGTTGAACTTGGCTGTTCTCATGATTCTGCTGTTAATTCTGTCGAGGATTCTTTTGCTGACTTTTCCTATCTCAGATTTGGTGGGGTTGATCAGCCGGCAGGTTGGTTTGTTGGCGAAGTTCGGTTTGTGGTCTTTGAGGGTTATGAATGCTTCTTTGCTAGCTGTCTTGTCTACTCTGTCGTCTATACCCAGTTTCGTTGTGATGTTTTTGTTTTCTGCGTGGATGGCTTGTACGGTGTCAGGTTGTGCTTTTTTGTAGGACTTGGTGATGTTCTGTTCGAGAAGGTCGTTGTATGCGGATGGTTCTAGCTTGTAGAAGTTCGTGGTTTTGTCGGCGGCGATGAGTAGCTTCGTTTCGTTTTTAATCTTTATGGCGTCGTCTTTGAGTTTGTTGAGGAAAGGGCTGTTAATATTGAAGTAAATAGAGAAATAAGGATCAAAATCACGAACACTGGGATTGAAAAATCCTTTCTTCCTCTTCTAGACTTCTTTAATATTATTTTCTATTCTCCTTCGTCCTCTTCCTCCTCATGCTTTTATTTTTAATCATTATTATCATTATCATGATTATCATCATTGAAAGATAATGTTATTCAGTGATAGACCATGCCGTTTAACTAAGGTCTTGCTCGGTAGAGCTTCCGAAGTTCAAATTTCAATGTCGTAAATTTTGACCTCTATTGAGCTTTTAGAATTGTTTTTACTTTTAATTGTTTTACCATCTAAAAAGTGATTCTAGAAAAAAAAATTATGTATCACAGCAATTTTATTTCGTGCAGACACTTATTTTATTTATTTATAAAAATTTTCAATCCGTGTGTTAATTATTAGAATGATTATCTTTGTTCCATTAGGTCGCAAAAATGGAGAAGAAGCCTCAACATCTCAGATGGCATCAATTGCTGTATTATGTGCTTCGGTAGCTGTTTTTATTTGTTTAATCACTGTGCTTGTGTGGCATCGGCTTCGAAATGGTGGTGAAGAGGTAAATAATAGGCGATCTTTCTGCTCTATCTCGGAAGGGAAAAGGGTTTTCTTAGAATGTGCGAAGCGTCTCTTGACTCTCGTCGCATCTCGCCCTGACAAAGAGCGGTAAATTCCAGTGACCCATTGGACTCCGGTATAAGCGAAGTTGTGTAAGGAGGATTTTCGTCAGTTGACTTTTAAATGTGTCCATTTCCTCTTAAATAAAAATTTTATGGTTTTGTGGGGTCAAACGCACACAATGTCGAGGCTACGGAAAAAACCCATTTCTTTCTCTAATTCTACTCTCCCAAATTCTTCTTTTCTCTACCTTGGATCAATAAATATCTTAAGTAGCAGTATGCTAATATTTGAATTTATTGTAAGGCTTAGCTTGTGCGGCTCAATTTTTGGGGCTAATGAAGCAATACAATCAAAGTAGAAAGCTATATTTTCCTGCTTAGATGCCTTAAAATGATAATCGTGATAAAAGAAGATAACGTAAGGATTTAGCTGGAAATTTATGCTTCCCTTTCAAACAAGCAGTAATCAAATAGCAATAAGATTGATGATCCAGAGTACAAGAGGTTTCAGTGCAACTCGCTCAAATCCCGCATCATAAAAGAAACTCAAACAAAGTATGACTGTGATTAAAACTGAACACGCTTCTTGTACACGCTAAGGTGCAAATGCCCCTGTTGTGTACAGTCGAAGGTGGATTAGGCGACAGAGAGCCTCCAGACGGAAGCAAGCAGCCTGATTCGATGCAAGACATTAACGAGAGAGGCCAGGAGAGTTCAGATTGGGGTGAGAAGATTGCAGGTGGTGATGATGTCATCGCTTGTGGAGGGGTTGACTCATGTGTCGACGAACAAGGGAATGGGAGACAGATCTCTCGTGAAACTGAGGAAGGTTTTGACAACGTGGAAAATCTTGAAGTGTTGGACGAAGTACTCGGTGAAGGTGAATTTGGGATCGTCTACAAAGGTCGATATGGAAAATACGGAAATGTCACTGATGTAGCGGTGAAGAAGCTAAAAGGTACAAAAAATGGATCAACAGATACTCCCACCTATAAAACGTCAACTCGTTAGTTCCTTAATGCAGTGGTATATCTCTATATGTTTTTCTATGAGCTCACTGGCCACTCCATGTGGTTTTAGCCTAAAAAGATCTAAACAGCTGCCCTTGACATCTAATTTAGTGGCTTAACTCTTCATAACCTTCTTTGGATTTTACTTCTGCCTCTTCTGAGCACTTTCTGCAGCCTTAACCAAGCCACATTTTCCACGTCATTATCCTGTTACCATAGCCACATGCAACGAGCTAACTGCGTGAAAACAAGTATTTTAAAAAATCCTTTGTCTTTTCTCTATGCAATTGTAGGCCCTAATGCCATTGCAAAAAAAGCCCTGCTCAATGAGATAAGGACATTAAAGCAAGCTGGAAAACACCCAAATATTATCACTTTAGTTGGCACACGGATAGAGGGAGGTAAGTCAGTCCTCGACAAAGCAACTTCCCTAGTGATAGGCATGTAGAGTTTGCAATTTACCGGGTTAGGCTACAGCCGTTTGAAGATCAGTCGAAACAGAAGTAATCTTATCATTTAAGGAAACTACTCCGGTGAGCATTGGTCAAAAATTTGTTTTTCCTTGATCAGAAACCATTCCGTTAAGGCAAAATGCTAGAAAAATCATTTCGAATACTTTATTCTTGGTCCTTTGGATCCAACTTGCTCACCAACCAAGTCTATCT